GCAGAGGCAGCGTGGGCATGTCCAGCCTTCCTCGCTGGCAGCGAAGGACGCTTTTGGCACCTCTGGCTGGGCCTCTTCAGTCTGCTGCATGAAGAAGTGTATTATAATGAGGCTGCTTTTGTCTCTTTTTAGCATTTTATTTATCTGAATGTTGGCCTTGTGCTGTATTGCTCCGCCAGGGTGATTTGTGGCTCTGTAGGTGCTCTTGGTGCCTGTCAGCCGTTGGTGATGCTGCTAGTGCTGGCTCAGTCCCACCAGTGGCTTTTTGTGGTGCGGGGCCAGGAGCTGCTCAGAAGGACCTGCTGGGGCCAGCTCTCATCAGGGCAGGTTTCTGGTGTTGTGTAGGCAGAAGGTGGTTGCTTTTCATAGAATCATAGAATGTTTTGGGTTGGAAGGGACCCCTAGAGGTCATCTAGTCCAACCCCCAGTTGGTGTTCCCTGCAAAACCCTTCCTCGCCAGTCGCCGCAGCAGGCAGCAGTCATGAGGTCTGTCTTTGGCTTCCCAGGCTTCGACTGAAATGCATCTGATGTAAGGGAGAGGGAATCAGACCCCTGCGTAAAGGCCAGGGGTGGTTTGCAGTATTCACATTCACGTGAGATGCTGAAGTTTGCCCCTGGATACTTGGGCCTCCAGCTGACTGCTGAATTGCAGTGTATGCTATGCTGTGGGCACCCGAAATCTTCTGCCATGAGGAGCTGCAGTTCTGGTGATGGTACCAGCAGATGTTTGTCTGTGCTCCCCATCACCCGCCTCCTAAGCAGCAGCCGCACAGCCCCACGTCGCTGCTAGGTGTTCGTTCTGCTTACGGGGGCTCGCAGCCCCTTCTCAGTTGGTTGCTTGGAGAAGTGGCAATGCAGTGTGAGGCTGAGCTGTCTCAGCCCTGAAGAGCTTGCTCCCCGATTTGATTTCATCAGGTGATGTGCTCAGGTAGTTCAGGTGCATAGTTTGAAACTGAATAATGTAGATTTTCCTTGTCATTTTTCTGATTTTAGTTAGGTGGCTTTACCCTAAGCTTTGGAGATATGGCTTGCTGGTTTTGAAGTGTCTTGTTTCTTGCATGCAAGGCTGATGGTCTGGGCCAGGACAGCTATCCAGCGTGGTGTAATACCAGGTGGCTTGTGAAGGACGAAGAGAGCAATGCATGTCTGGGACTGGAAGATGGAGACGACGCATCCTCTTTGCTGCACTTGGATGTCAAGCTGCTCCCAGCGACAGGGATCCAACCGTCCTCTCCTGGCTGGGTGACTTCCACAATTTGCCAAGTCTGCTCCTGACCTGGGCCCACTGCTTTTGAGACTTCCAAAAGTGATTTTGGTTGCTTTGCTATGGTTTTGTTTTGGAAACATTCCCCATTCTTTGCCTGAGTAAAGGAGCTTAATTTCTATTAACAGAAGTGGAAAATGTACTCAATTCTTCTTGCTCATCTTTGCATCTCTTCCTGCCCCCACCCCCCCCAAATCTGTTGATGTGCCAGAACCCCTGACTACCCATGGTCTTTCTGCTTCTTTAATTTCTTTTTCATGACATCTACTGAATTTATGAAATTCTGCAGAACTTCCACAAAGTACATCTGTGTGGGAGCACCTGAACCACAAGGGACAACAGGAAGGTTGGTGTCAAAGGGACAAATTCCCGACCAGAGGTAGTGGGAGAACTGAGGGCCCTGGAGAACGTGTTCCGACACATCAACAGATTTGAGGGGGGGTGGGGTAGGAGGAGGGTTTGCAGAGGGCAGGAAGAGATGCAAAGAGAGGAAAAGGGAAAAGATGAGCAAAAAGTAGAACTGAGCAAAAACCAGCGAAGCAATGGAGAGGAAAAGGAGCAATGGGCTGGAGAGTTTTTTAGTTGCTTTATTCCAGGTGTCTTATAGCTGCATTTGAGCAGGTGCCAAGGCTGTGCTAGAAATTTTAGGTCAGGATGGGGACTAATCATGCTTGTGCTGTGTGCTTCGATGGTGGGGAATTCACATGGCGCCCGCTGGATGCCTCCCCCTCGTCTCTGCCCATGCGTGGAAGGTGCCGTGGCGCTGGCAGCAAGGTGCCTCCCAGCATACGTCTTTAAAACACTGCTAAACAAAACTGAAGCTTCTTCGGAAGGCAGCTCGTAAACCTTTCCGGCATTTGCATTTTGAAAAACACAGTCATAGCTCACTGCAATTTACTGTAGTAACTTTCTGAGCAATTAATCCATCTATGTCCTGCCAGGTCTCCCGTGGTTCCTATGGCAGTTCATCACAGGGCACAGAAATTTGTTGATTTTAATCCTCCTCACTAATTTTTAGGTTATGTTTTCTGCTGGTAAAACTGAATGCTGATGTGAGCAAAGCAGAGTAGGTCAGAGTGAGTTGGGCAATGTCTGGAGGAGCAGGAGCTGGTGCTCACCAGCCTTGCCCTCGGCAGGGAAGCCAGAGGCATGGCTGCTCTCCCGGCCCCGAGCTAACAGCCCCGCATAAGGAGCTTCCCTGGGACTTCAGGCCACACCAGCAAGCTCTGAGCTCCACCAGTGATTTTTTGATGGGGGTTATAGGAGGAAAAGGCAAAGCTCAGCTGAGTGTGGGCAAGGGGAAAAGGAAAAACAGATGGCTCTCGGGACATGCAAGAGCCTTTTTTTTTAATTATTATTATTTTTTCCTCAAGGGCACAGCCTTCGAGCCTCCCAGACGGGTAATTCTTGTTTATACGCCCACAGAAGGTGAAGGTGACAGTCCTGCTTGTGGGGCTATTGGTGTGTCTTCTCAGACATGGTGTGTTTGTTTTGTAGGTGGGTGTCAGGAGCTGCATTACTTTTTTTTTTTTTTTTTTTTTTTTTTTTTAACCCCCCCCCCCCCCCCCTGCGCCAGTTAAAACCAGGATGAGTGCGAAGGGGAAGCTTGTTGTGGGCAGCGATTCTGCTTTGGCTGGGGCTGTAAGAGCTAAGGGGCTCCTTCACTGCAGATGTCTGAGTTTGTCCCATTGGGTTGGACCCAGGGCTTATTCTATCCTGCAGCCCCCCAGAGCCTCCTGTGTGGATGAAGAAAAAGCAGCATCACAGGGTAGCATCTTCCCTTAACACCTGGATTTATAGCAGAACATCCTCATGAGGATGAGTAGACACTGTCCCAGTAATGCCCTCCTTATGTTGCAAGAACCTGTCTGAAGACACCTCTTGCCCCAGAGGCTGAGGTCTGAAATGTCCAGGCTGGAGGTGGAGACCAGGAGTTTGGGGTTGGCAGAGGTTCCTGGTGTTTCCCAAGATCAGTCAGAACAGAAAAGGAGCAGCACGCAGCCTGGTGCTGGGGAGAAATGAACCTCATTCCAAAAACTGGTGCACCTTTCTAGGCACAAGGAGAAGTGGTGGCCATTCCCTTTCCTCCTCCATCTGATTATTTGGCCTTTCCAGGTTTTGTGTGAGAGAGGCTGTGTGTGAGTGGGGTAGGGGATCTGCTTTTCTTGGCTCCGAGTGCTTACAATTTCTGTTTTTCTTTCTGGCTTTTCAGAAAGTTACTATGCAAACATCTTGTTTTACCTTCTGGTGGCCAAAGATGTTGGGCTTTGATCATAGAATTGTTTAGGTTGGAAAGGACCTTTAAGATCATCTAGTCCAACCATTAACCTAACACTGCCAAGCCCACCGCTAAACCCTGTCCCTAAGCACCTCGTCTGCCTGGCTTTTAAATACCCCCAGGGATGGGGTCTCAACCACTTCCCTGGACAGCCCGTTCCAATGCTTGACAACCCTTTTGATGCAGAAATTTTTTCTAATGTCCGATTTAAACCTCCCCTGATGCAACTTGAGGCCATTTCCTCTTGTCCTAAAGAGGAACATTGATACTCCCTTCTATTCTGCAGCCGGCTGGAGGAGAGCGTGGCATCCAGTGCTGGGCTTGCTCTGTTCATTTACAGCTTGGGAGAGGGGGTCTCTAGGTGCAGGTTGTTGCTATTTAAGCTCCCAAATCATTTCTTTGCCTGCTGTGCACCTTGCTGGGGCACTTCTCCAGCTTCCCTAGTACTGGAGCATGTCAGTCTTCACTACAGCAGATCAAATAATTTCTGTTGCAGCTTTTAGGGCTGAGAGTCCCTTACCCACACCCCTAACTGCATGCACGTAGTATTTTATTTATTGATTTTTTTTTTTTTAAAGACACTGAAATGTCTTTTCTCTTTTTGAGGGAGTTGGAGCTTTTTTTGTTCCAGTTGAGAAGTGTTCAGAACAGACTCCCAGGTGGGATTGGTTCTTCTAACATAAATGTGTGTCAGTGTTACCAGGGATATTCTGTGGCAGGGCTTTCTATGCCATTGCTGAAGGTCTCAGTTAATTAGATGATTAGTCTTCTGGTCAAGTATCTATCTGCAAATAAAAAATAGCAGTTGAATGTAGCTGCTAAAATACTGTTGCTGGAATCAGTCTGTGGCACAGAGCACGAGGGCTTCTTATTTAATTAAAATCAGGAACATACTGTACTGTACTCTCCAAGGGTCAAGGAACAAAAGGGACAGACACATAATAAGTAGCAAACTGTCCTTTCAAACCCCTTGAGCTCAGCCCAGGGGAGCTGTGTTTAAAGGGACACTCTCAAGATAACATTTGTGATTTCTCTCCTTTTTTTTTTTTTATATTTTTTCTTCATACTGCTGCATGGATTATTGAAGCTGAAAGTATCCTGTGACTCTTCATTTTCTTCTTACCTGTTCTTCCTCTTGGATTTGAAGTTGCCATGAGGACTGCTTAGATCCAAACTCTCCGTGTGCGTGCTTGGCACCTGGGCTGAGCTTGCTGGGGTCCTGTATCAGAAGCCAGCCTGCAAGCAGCCCCAGTAAAAGGCTGGAGGCAGGCTGGACTGGGGGCTGAGCTACCATCCCAACATGGTGGGGGAGTTACTGGGAGCACTGAGCTGTGTGGCCTGGCACCCTGTACTTCCAAGGAGGAGTGTGTGTACATGTTTTTTCTGAGTTGCTGGGGTTCACTGCTTGCTTGAAAGTTGCCACCAGCCTAATGAGCTCTTCTGTGCTTGTTTGTGCAGGACGTCGCGCTGTTGGAGTACCAGCATCATTCCAGGGATTTTGCTTCCCACCTGCCACCGGGGTCTATCATGCAGCCGCAGCGGCGGAGGCCGTCCCTGCTCTCCGAGTTCCAGCCAGGCAATGAAAGGTACCGGCTCCCTGCCTCCCCCGAGCCATGGGCATCCCAACTGCATCAGCAAGTATTTTGCGCAGAGCTGTGGTGCAGAGGAGGGCTCTGAGACCTGGGCAATGTTATGTTGTGACTCGGCTCAGTTTCTGTGCCAGTCTTAGCTTCGTTGTGCTAACGCAAGTGGCACCTTTTTGCCTTCTGGTTTCTTCCCTTAGACTGTCACGCGTTTTAAAGACAACTTAAAACCACCAACCAACAAAAAACCCCACCCCCCTCACCTCTGTGAAGCTACGCATCACTGCGACTGTGGCATCAGCTTTCTTCAACATAGGAAATAAAGCTGTGTGGTTGGGTTTGGGCTGTGGCTCCCAAGGCTGTGAAGGGTGGAATGAGAACAGCTCATTGACACTGTGCATCTCTGCTTCCTCTTCTGCTCTTCCTCCCCGCTTTCATTGGGTTTGTTTCTCTTGGTGCATTCCCCTCACAACTTTCTCCGAGCTGCTTTTTCCCTGTCTGCTCCCCTCGCAGCTCTCCCTGTGTTGCCGACTGCTTTCGTAGCCTCCCGTGGGAGGCTGGCGGTGTTTTTGGGCACAACTCAGGCATGCGCCGGGTGGCTGGAAGCGCTGTAGATGCTTTAACCACAGGAGCTGATCTGTTCTGAAGGCCATCACTCTCACTCTCTGTTTAGTCGCAAAACACTGCGCTCTTACAGTTTCTCTTCTGCATTTGGTGCTTAGTAGTTTTGAAAAAAACTGGCCTGGAAGTGAAATAAAGAGCCTTGCTACAGTAGACTTATGCAAAGTAGGGGTTTTTTATGCTTACTCCTTAGTCGGTCTAAAAATAAAAATAGTGCAGAGTCAGAGAGATGAATCTGTTTCTCTAAAATAGGAATCGTTAGGGGACAGGAGAAAGACCTGAGAGTGCTGGATGCATAAGGGCATAGGTGCAGACAGGACCCCACTTTTAATAGTGGGATGGATTCAGCTTGGTTTTTTTCCCAAGAAAATCTGAAGGCAAAAAGCAGCCTCCAAAATTAGTTTTGCATCTGCCCTCCTGGATGTGCTCTCCTGGGTTGTGCCTGCGGCACCTGCATGTACAGAGGGTAATGTCACTTCCGATGACTAGTAATTTATTGCCGCATGTTGCATTGCCTCGGCTTGCTTTGATTTCTCAGTGCTTTTATTTCTTAGTGCAAAGTAACATGGTTAAGTTGGAAGTGGGTCAGATTCAGCTAAATTTGGGGGAGATGGGTAAAGAGGACCCAGCAACACGCTCATGCCTGATTTTGTTTTTCACACTACTTACGGTTTGCAGAATGGAGAACCAGTCCTTCTCTCCAGTAAAGTGAAGGTTTTAAGGTCTGAGTATGGTGTTTAAAAAAAATGTATCCTGGTCCTTCCATATAATAAAAAAAAAAACCCAAACCCAGACCAGACCAACCAAGCTTTGGTGTCTGCTGCACCACATGCCTAATCTGGTGTGGTCATCCGGGCATCTCTCTTGGGCTTACAAATGTTTCAGGCTCTCAAAACTTATTTTTGCGCTGACAGTCGCATGGATGTGGGTAAATGTTAACCGAGATTGTCAGGTTTAGATACACATCCAAGTGCTTCTCATGGTTACTTTGCTTTCAACCTGAATGGTGAAGTTTTGGCAGGCTATAAAAAGACACATCTTTTGTGACAAACCCAACGTACATTTAATCCCTTTTCCCTGTGACATCCAAGAAATTGAACTTTTGCAAAAATTACACCAGGTAATAAAGCTAAAAATACCGCTTAAGTTGAGTTCGGTTGGCATCTTGTGGCAGAATGTTGGGATACAGACTCATTAAAAAAAAATTGTTGGGCATCTGGGGATGCAGGTTGGGGGGGGGTCTGCAGAAATTTTCAACCCAGTGTAATTAATTATTGAAGTCATTCAAACTGGGTGGCGTTGGGGATGGGGAGGTGTTCGCCCGTTTTTCAAAGCCAACTACTGTTTCTCTGCATCTTTTAAGCACTAAAATCTATTCTACGGGGGCTTTGTTTTTTCATCCTTGTGGTGTGAGGATCTGCTTTAAAACAACACCTGATGTGTTGGTAATGGGAGCCGTTTGGGTGTTTGGTTGCTCACCTGAGGATTCCTTGGGGGCTCAAGGCCCAAGACCCTGGAGCTTCTGGAGGAGGTTGGGTTGGTCATTGATGTCAACCCCAAAAAACAGCTCTGGCTCTGCCTGGTATGGAGCAAAGCCTGGACAAGGCAGGGTGGTGAAAGCAGCCATCTCTGCAGCTGAGTCCCTTTGGCGGGTTCATGCTGGGTGCATCTGTAAGCACTTTGGCTTTGTTCCTGGGCTGGGATTGATGGTTTTGAGCAGCGGCAGCTGGCTCTTGCCGTGAGGGGCTGGGGAGGAGGGAGCGACCAAAGGCAAACAAGTAATGTCTGCAACGTGGGCACAGGGGCTGAACAGAGGGAAGCACAGGGGTGTGCTGTGTCTGAAAGGAAGACCCTCGCCTTGGCTCCCTGCCTCAAACCCCACCTGGCACACGGTGGTGGTGGGTGTGAGATGGTCCTCCCCTTGAAGCAAGTGTCAGTGAAGGGGAACCCTTCCAATCCTCCGTTGCTTCGGGTGTTCAGAGGAAGCAGCCTGTCTGCTGTTGGTTGTGGTGACTGATGCTCTTCCAGGATCACTCCCCTCCTTAAAGAAATCAATTTGTGAGTCTGGTGCAGGTGGAATGTGGCAGACTGACAGTGCTGGCAGTCGAGCGCTGTGCGTGTTCCCAGATGGACATCCCTGCTCTGCCATCGCCATGCCTCGCGCTGATCCAGAGCCATGCCTGCAGCCAGAGAGCATGGTTCAGCCCTCGGGCTGCTCCGTCACGGTTCCCCTGAGCCCACCTACCCAGTGGGTGGCCACTGTTGCCCTCCTCTCCTGGAAACTGTAGGGATTCACTTTACTCTCTGCTGGTTTTGGGGCATTGTCCCCCAGTTTGGCTTTGCCTTCACCTTGGGCAGATCTCTAAAACCTCTGCAAGGCTGATGCCATTTGAGGCTTGACCCCACGGATGCTTTAAATTTTGCAGAAAGAATTTGGGCTTGCTTAGAAAGTATTCCTACAGCTTTGCAGGTTTTCTGTCTCTCCTGGCCGCAGTTTTGCTGTAGCCACCAGGGAGGTGGTTAGTTGTGGTCCGGTGAAAAGGGAACAAGCGGCGAAGCATTTCACCATGGGCACAGTGTTTTAGGCATAAATCGGGTGTTGGTGGCAAAAAGCTGTTGAGTGGTAATTTGCTAGAAGGCATGGGGTGCTGAGATGGCCCCACATTTTGGGGCTCCCTGAGCAAGAAGCTTGTTGAATGTCAGGCTCGGGCAGCTGGTCGTCCTCACGTCTGAGCCTTGGTGAGTCAGGCAGGATGGGGACAACCAGTTCCTGAAGTGTCACGGCATCGTGGGCTCTCTTCCCTTGGGGGCGATGTGCCTCCTGCTTTCCCCTGCTTCCCACCCTGGGCAGCCCAGTCCCGCAGGAGCTGCTGGGGAGTTGCAGACTGCCCTTCTCCAAGGACATCAGCCTTGAGAGTTGTCATCACCCCTCGGTGGATGGGTAGAGGCTCAAACTCCCTGTGCAGCAATTCTGGCTTGGAAGAAGGAAGGAAAACTTGAACCACTCTGAATCTGTTGCTATAGGGGAAGTTGGCGCTGTCTGCCTTTGTGGGGATGTGCTGCTTTCCTTGATGGTTTTTTTGGTAGCAGGCTTTTTCTTGGAAGGATCCACAGACTTCCCCTTAGCTTGTTCGGTTGGCTGTGCCAACTGGACTGCAGGAGCGAAGAGAAGTATTTCAGGATCTGCTGTTGGTACAAGTCGTACCGTGAATACTTGCAGAGGAATGTCCTGGCAAGGTGACAAGGATTAGGGTTTTTTTTCTCTTCTATATATATTTTGGTCTGCAAAAGAAGTGAGGAAAAACTGGGTTGAGTGTTAAATGGCAGGTGCCAGTGAGGTTGAGGGGTCTGAAAAATCAAGGAATTAGATTTTTCTGCCTTTTTATAAGTGTTACGATTTCAGAGCAAGATTCCTTATTAACACAGGAATGCTGGGGTGGATAATGGCTTCTCTGGCAGAAAACGTGGCTGTAAATAAGCGGTATGCATATTAACACAGTATATTCTGCCTCTATCCAGAATGAGATGAGTCACTATTTTCATAGGAGATTATTTTCCCAGTTCATGAGACCATGCTCCTTTTTTGGAGTCTTTCTGCTTAGCAGTCATGAGGAGTTTGAAGAATTTGCCCGGCGTTGATCTGGAGTATGACATTTAGGATACGTTAAGCAGCTGCTGTGTTTCTGCAGCCATCCGAGATAGCCATGTGCAATATAGTATGAGAGCAGGTCTAATTACTGTGCTTATTGAATGTGATCAATCCTGCTGGCCGAGGAGCCCGGGGAGCGGTGGGAAGCCAGGGTGGTGTGCGTGGCTGCTGGAAATCATGTGCAGCTTTCGGTCTTCATCTGGGCTGGGCCAAATCGCACCAACTGCTCCCGAGTTAACAGCGCGACCAATCTAATTTTATTTATGGTCTTTAATTAAGTATCCATTTTTAAAGGTGACTCTTTTCTCAGGAGCGAGCAGTGGTGCGGGTGAAATCCCTACAACCATACATCTTTGTGTCTTTTCACACTTGAAATGATGTTCTGGGAGCCACATTTTTTCCTCCCCATAAATGAGCGTGGGAAAATAATGGCTGGAAAGGGCAGATGCTGGTGGACACTTGGTGAGAAGCCTCGTGGGCTGCGGGCATGCCCATGGCTGGGCACAGAGAGTGACCAAGGCTCTGCGGAGGAGATGTGGAAGACACTAGGCTTTGTGGAATGGGCCAGTGTGCCCTGGCAGGGAGGTGTGAGGGGAAACCTAGGCTTTGCCTTGGCTGGGATGAATGGGTAAAAGTTCATGAAGCAACTTTCCCTTGCATAATCTTGAACCAGATTTATTCTGGGGGGGGGAAAGTTGATCTTGCAATGTATGCAGCGGGCCTGGTGAAATGT